AAAAATCTTTAATCAAGAATTTTTCGAAAAGTGTTCAATATTTCGGTAACGTAATGAAGCATGAAGTTGATCTTTGCATATCAAATAGAGATAACCAAGCGCAAACTTTTTCTTTCATACCGTTTTAACAAAAAATGCCAACTTCCGGTTTTTGGTAGGGATCAAAGTTCAAATGCACTATATTGGGTACTAACCTTAAAAAATCTTCCTATCAAGTTCCACGAGGTCTAGAGTCTTGATATTTCATATTTAAGATGCTAAGATGTGTGATTATCAGGTTTGAAAAAAATGGTTGACATTGTTCAACTATCAAGGTCACAGTCAAGGTCACAAATGTCAAATGTTTAAAACAAAAAAAATCTTTAATCAAGAATTTTTCGAAAAGTGTTCGATATTTCGGTACCGTAATGAAGCATGAAGTTGATCTTTGCATATCAAATAGAGATAACCAAGCGCAAACTTTTTCTTTCATACCGTTTTAACAAAAAATGCCAACTTCCGGTTTTTGGTAGGGATCAAAGTTCAAATGCACTATATTGGGTACTAACCTTAAAAAATCTTCCTATCAAGTTCCACGAGGTCTAGAGTCTTGATATTTCATATTTAAGATGCTAAGATGTGTGATTATCAGGTTTGAAAAAAATGGTTGACATTGTTCAACTATCAAGGTCACAATCAAGGTCACAAATGTCAAATATTAAAAAAAAAAACAACAACACTTTAATATAGAATATTTCCAAAATTGTTCGATAGATTCACTTTATCTTCAGGTGTGATGTGGACAAAACAACTGCGCACATTTTTGGCAGAAAACATTTTGAGTTGACCAGGTCAAGTTTTTAGTAATTTAGGGGTCAAATTTTGAATGTGTAATTCTGTGAAACAAACTTCAAAAAACTTCCTCTCAAAATCCAAGTCACCGAAGGTCATAATAATTATTGAATATATTTGCTCAGGCAATGAACTATCAAGTTTGATAATATGAATGACATTGACCCATGTTCAAGGTCACTGGGGTCAATTATGTTAAAAACTTCAAAAGACTCCTGCTCAATAACCGAAATGCCCAGGGTATTGATATTTGGTCTGTAGCATGCTAGGATGATGGGCTACACGGTTTATGGACATAAATGACCATTAAATATTAACTTCCGGTATTTGATAGAAGTCAAATTCAAACATGCAATTATTCAAACAAATTTCAAAGATAAAAGGCCTTTACTACTGGTGTAAGGGAAGTAACTCGTAAGGCCAAATCAGTCCTTACAGTGAAAAGCCCGTAAAATTGTTAGCCAACAATTTCTTGTTATTATTAAGGTTACAGGGGTCGAATGTGTTTAAATCTTAGAACATTTTTTTTTAAAGACTTTGAGTCAAGAAACTGATATTTTTCCTGTAGCTTTATTTTAGTCTACTGTTAAGGTTACAGCTGTGAGATTAATACCAGGTGAGCGATGCAGGCCCATTGGACCTCTTGTATTCAAGGTCACAGGGGTCAAATATCTTAAAAAACTTTCAACAACTTCTTCTAAATAATCAAAAGGCACAGGCTGATGATATTTGGAGAGTAACATGTTGGGACGAAGGGCTATTAAGTTTGTTTAAATGAATGACCTTGAGTTATATTCATGGTCACAGGGGTCAAATTTGTTTTAAACCTTTAAACGACATCTTCTGAATTATAATAAGGCCCATAATATTGATATCTGCTCACTAGCATGCTTGGATGAATGGCTAACAAGTTTGTTGAAATGAATAACTTTGATATATATTCAAGGTCAAAGGGGTCAAATATGTTTAAAGATTTTAACCAACTGATTCTGAATACACAGAAGGCCCAGAATGTTGGTATTTGTACAGTAGCATGCTTTGATGAAGGGCTTCAAAGTCTTCAAAATGGATTACCTTGACCTATCTTTAAGGTCAAAGGATTAAAATATGTTTAAAAACTTTAAATGACTTCATTTGAATAACCATAAGGCTCAGAATTTTGATATTTGGCAAGTAACATGCCTGGATAAAGGGCTATCAAGCTTCATTTTTAGCTCACCTGGTCTGATGGACCAAGGTGAGCTTATGCCTTACCGTGGCGTCCGTCCGTTGTCTGTCCGTACGTCAACAATTCCTTTAAACGACTTCTTCTCATGAACCAAGTGATGGATATCCAAGATATTTGACTGGAAGCATCCCTAGGTGGTGGGGATTCAAAATTGTACAAATGGTTGGGCTGACCCCCCAGGGGGCTGAGGGATAGGGCCAAATAGGGGCAATTTGGCTATATAGCTACAAACAACTTCTTCTGTAGAACTATGCACTGGATATCAATCATACTTAACTAGAAGCATCCCTAGGTGGTGGGGATTCAAAATTGTACAAATGTTTGGGCTAACCCAGCAGGGGGCTGAGGGGCAGGGCTAAAAGGGGGCAATTTGGCTATATTGCTATAAACGACTTCTTCTTTAGAACTATGCACTGGATATCAACTATATTTGACTGGAAACATCCCTAGGTGGTAAGGATTCAAAATTGTACAAATGGTAGGGCTGACCCATCAGGGGGCTGAGGGGCTGGGCCAAAAAGGGTTATTTGGCTATGTAGCTTTAAATGACCCTCTTTTCTGGAACTGAGTGATGGATATCAACCATATTTGACTGGAGGCATCCCTCGGTGTTGGGGATTCAAAATTGTGCAAATGATGGAGCTGACCCCCCGGGCGAAGGGGTGGGGCCAAAAAAAGTATATTACTTGGAAATGGTTGAGATCCCCACTATATAACCATATATACAATTGCTGAGTATAAAGAGAAGAACGCACATTTGCTTCCAGGATGACTCTAGGGTCTAGTCATAACTTTATAACAGTTGAGATCCCCACCCCAAAACTATATATACAAATGCTCGGCATTAAAGACACGAATGCAGTCATGATATTAGAATAGACCCTGGGGTCTGACCGAACCCCTTGGGACCTATTTTCTTTGTCACAGCTTGGAAACAATTGAGATCCCCATCCTATAACCATATATACAATTGCTGATTATAAAGAGATGAACACACATATGCTTCCAGGATGGCCTTGGGATCTGCCCCACCCTTGGAGACTTAATCCCTGGATCATATCTTTGAAACGGTTGAGATCCCCACCCCAAAACTATATATATACAAATACTGGATAAAAAGAGACAAATGCAGTCATGATATTAGAATTGATCCTGGGGTCTGGCCACAGCCCTAGGGACCTAGTTTCTAAGTCACAGCTTGGAAACAGTTGAGATCCCTACCCCATAACCATACATTAAATTGCTTGACATGAAAAATCTAATACAGATATGCTACAAGGATTGACCTTGGGGTCTGGCATATTCCCTTGGATCTCATTTGGAAAATATTTTGCCAAGGTCACATTTGGTCCAATGTTTATACACCTTTAAATGACCTAATCAAAATATATAAAAGGTCTAGGGTGATTATATTTGGCAAGTTGCATGCTTTAATGAAGCGCTACAAAGTCTTCAAAATGGATTACCTTGACCTATCTTCAAGGTCAAAGGGTTCAAATATGTTCAAAAATTTTAAACGACATCTTCTGAATAACCATTGGGCCATGGGCCCAGTATGTTGATATTTGGCCAGTCACATGCCTGGATGAAGGGCTATCAAGCTTTTTTTTTAGGTCATCTGAGCTTTAGATCATGTGACTATTGCTATCCTTCTTCATCCGTCGTCATGCGTCGTCCATTTACATGTTACATTTTCAACTTAAGCTGAAATACTATCGAAGGGATTTCATGGATATTTTATGGAAATGTTACTGACATCTCCCTGACCAAGTGTTGTTATTTTTGGGGTCGATCAGAAAGCCAATATGGCCACCAAGGCAGCCATTTTGAAAAATATTTCAACCTTAAAGTCAAGTTCTACTGGGACGATTTAACTGAAACTTCGTAGGAATGTTCGACTCATGGTCCTGACAAAGTGTTATTATTTGTCGGGTTGATCAGAAATCAAATATGGCCGCCACAACTGCCATTTTGAAAAAAATATTTTGAACGTAAAGTTAAGTTCTATTGGGCTAATTTAACTGAAACTTGGTAGGAATGATTGACTCATGGTCCTGACAAAGTGTTGTTATTTTTCGGGTCGATCAGAAATCTGATATGGCCGTCGCAGACGCCTTTTTGAAAATCTTTAGGTATACACCTTCAGATGTTATACAAAAGGTTAGGGTGGTTATATTTCGCAAGTTGCATGCTTTGATGAAGGGCAATACAGTTTGTTCAACTTAATGACTTTGTTCAACTTTCACAGGGGTGAAATGTGTTTAAATCTTTTGACAGGTTCTACTGGTATTTTGCATCAAGTTTTATTTTAGTCCACTTTTAAGGTTACAAGTTTGACATTAATACCAGGTGAGCAATGCAGGCCCATTGGGCCACTTGTTTTTAAAATAAAAAAATCTTCTTTAGAACAATGAAGTGCAGAGTCATGATATTTAGCATGTACAGTAATTAACTTGGAGAGTAACTGAATTGAATTTTGTTTTAATAAATTACTTTGACACACTTCATTGGTGTGAAGGATCAAATATGAAAAGGAGAAACATGTTATAATGCCTTTCTCTACATGGCTATGTCACAGGGCTGGATTTGTGTCAGGTGACCTATTTGGTTGCTGGAGTAGTACGCTAGCAAGTTTGTTCAATTGAATGCCTTTGACCAAACTATAACTTACAAGGTCATGGGGTCAAAATATTACTAAATTGACCTAAATGTACCAAGACCATTTTAGTTATTATGTTGGTACACCTTGCCTGCAGAGAGGGCTATAAGTTTATTATAAAAATGCATCCTCTGTATCAGTTCAAAGAGGTTAAATATGTTAAAATTGAGCAAAAATGATAGGCCAGCAATTAAATAACTAAGGCTGTATGGCCTTTCTGGTAATGTTTTGGATATCGATGAGACATTGTCATTTCTTTAAGATAGCTTTTTCCTGTTACAGGATGACCATGAGGACGGAGGACACGGAGGACAAGGGGGACACGGTGGACACGGTGGGTCTTATGTTTAAAGTTTTGTTTAATGTTTGGCCCTATTCCAGTTACACAAACCTATTCCAGGAAATAGTTGTGTTTCGCATATACAATACAATAACTGTGATAACAAAGAACATTAACCTATTTCCTGTTTATTCTGATCGCTTTTCGTCCTTTTTCGTCCTTTTTCGTCCTTTGTCATCCATAAACTTTTTACATTTTCAACTTCTTCTCAAGAACCAGTGAAAGGAATTTGTTTAAACTTGGTCAGAATCATCCTTGGTAGATGAGGCAACAACATTTTAAAATTGGGATACCTACCCCAACTCCAGGGGCCAGGGCAAGGCCCCAAAGGGAAAATTAACCAATATTTCAAAACTCTTCTTCTCCAAACGCAGAGGTACTACAGTCAACTTCTCTGCATGGATGGAAAGATCATCAGGAGCTTTATTAAAATTGAAAATTTCAGTACCTTCGGGCCATCCGTTCTCCCTTGGGGAGGGGGTAAAGTTTACTATAGTTTATAGAGAAACAACACTTTTGGGTATAATTATTTTAACAATTTTCTGTAGGAAAATATTCTTACTTGTTGAGAATTATTCTCAGAGGAAGATGGTTTTAAATTGTAAAATTGGAATTTTTACCCCACCCCTAGGGGCCAGGGCAAGGCCAGGGCGGGGCCACAAAGGGAAAATTAACCAATATTTCAAAAATCTTCATCTCCAGACTCAGAGGTACTACAGTCAATTTCACTGCATGGATGGGAAGATCATCAGGAACTTTATTAAAATTGTAAATTTCACTACCCCTGGGCCAGGCGTTGTCTCTTGGGGAGGGGTTTAAAGTTTACCCTAGTTCATATAGGAAAATAACACTTTTGGGTATATTTTGTTCATTTTCAGAAGGAAATTATTATTACTTGGTGAGAATCATCCTTGGAGGAAGATGGATCAAATTGTAAAATTGGGATTCCTACCCCAACCCCCAGGGGCACCAAAGGGAAAATTAACCAATATTTCAAAAATCGTCTTTTCAGACTTAGATGTAATACAATCAAATTCTGTGCATGGATGAAAATTCTGTCAGGGGCTTTATCTATTTTTCAATTTTATTACCCCTGGGCCGTTCATTCTCCTTTGGGGAGGGGGTAAAGTTGACTTTAGTTAATATAGGGAAATAGTACTTTTGGGTATATTTTGTCCATTTTCAGCAGGGAATTATTCAAACTTGGTTGGAATGATTATGCTGCCAGATGGCAATTAAATGGTATGAGAAAATAAGATCCTGCCCCATCCCCAGGGGCTGGAGGGGTGGGGCGGGGCCTTAATGGGGATTATTGTTAATAGTAAAAAAAATCTTCTTCATTAGTCACTCAGATGTTTTATTGTTCATGGATAGAAAGCTCCTTACCTAAATTACCATTACCTAAATTGTAAATTTCAACATTCCCCGGATCATCTGCTCTCCCTTGGGGAGAGAATAAAATTCTCAATAGCAAAATAATTTATTTGAATAGTTTTTAAAGTTCTTATCCTTTGGTGACATGACACTTATTGTATTTCACTTTGTTTACATGCTGTTTTCCTCATTTTGTTAACTATGAAATTGAGCTACTGGTACCAATGATATAACTCAGGTGACCACTAAGGCCCTTGGGCCTCTTGTTTTGCATGAAGTGGATATAGGGCTTTTATAAACTGACCATCTAATATTAACTTTTGGATGAATCAGAGCTTTTCTAATAAACCATACTGTTCTCCCTGTTTCAAATATTCATCCAGATAAGTATTTTATGGGTAAAGGACATTTTAAAGGACACCAGCATGAAGGTTGAATCAAAAATGTTTCTTTTCATTCTAAAATTAAAATTATTTCCTAATATTTGTGTTATTGAATTGCAAGCCTATTAATTAAGAAACAGCCTTAAATGACAACTAAATGTTTGCTTTTTATGGTGGTCTCACAGCACATGAGATGAGAAGAAAAACATCAATATTATACTTATCTGACTTGTTCATAGCCCTATAAGTACAAATATATGTGATCATTCTGGAAGTACTACCAAAGTTACTTGAAAATTATATTTTTAGGTAATATAAATCTTGTTTATAGAGTAAGCCAAATGGTTAATTGCACGTTGGTTTTATTTTTACTCTTTGGTTTGATAATTTTCTTTGGTGTATTATTATTGTACATTTATTAGAAAATGGTAACTGTTTTGAACAGGTCACAGTTCGCACAACAGAGATGGGCATACAGATAAGTAGTTTGATGACTAGAGTCGACCACCTCTAATTCTATCTTTTACACCTTATATACCTTCATCTGTCTTATCAGTAACCCTATCTTATACCAACAAAACTTCTCTAGAACAAAGTAACAATATCATTTAACTGAAAGTACACAAAAAACCTTTATTTGAAATTTTAGTCCTGAAATAAATGGGAGTTAAGAGTGCTGATCTATTGGGAAAGAACTATACCTACATTTATCCGTTTTACTATATTTGATCAAATAAGCACCCTGGCGTGTAGTGATTTGGGAAAATTACAATGAAAGCAGAACTTCCAAAAGCCATTTTTCAGATAAGCCATTAATTATGGTCAAGGGAAAGGAATTTCAAATCAGAAAAAAGTATAATGGTGGCTTGTGAGATATTGGTTGCTTAAATGATTGACAAGAATTAAACCAAATCGATGTTGATTTTCTATTTGGGATGAATGCAACATTTTGACATGGGAATCTGTAACTGTAGGTCAGTGACATAATTACTAACTGTTTAATGTGTGTTAATATTAAATTTGAACTGGTTACATTAATTTATTCAAGTGGCTTATCATTAATAAGAAACTATATATGCAATGATCTTTGTCCTTGTTATTTTATTTTGATGCAAACTAAATGTAGCAATTAAATATACTACTGTGCTTTGTTGCTAATACTTTCTTTATATTAATATGCATGTGAATAAATTCCTTAAAGTTAAATATCACTGTATGTGCCATTTAGAGGAGATACATTCTATGTCTAAATCAGCAAACAGATTTTTTTTTTTTCAGTACAAATATCAATTACCATTATTAAAAGTAAAATTTGATATCAAAGTTATAACAATATTCTCATAATACTGAAAATAGTACAATTAAACTTGTATTAGGAAACCACCTTGGAAAGTGGTATCTTAATGCAAAGGGTCTCAGTTTGAATTAACAACTTCAAATCACAACAAAAACACTACTATAAGGGGCAGTAAAAGCGGCCTCTTAACACAGGTGGTCCCTAAATGAAGGAGGCTCACACATGTGGTCAGGGATTTTTTTGTACATGATACCCTGGTCCTGGAGCTCCTGTACATGATACCCTGGTCCTGGAGCTCCTGTACATGATACCCTGGTCCTGGAGCTCCTGTACATGATACCCTGGTCCTGGAACTCCTGTACATGATACCCTGGTCCTGGAACTCCTGTACATGATACCCTGGTCCTGGAACTCCTGTACATGATACCCTGGTCCTGGAACTCCTGTTCATCCCATCCAAAGAGAAGTCAGAGGTGACTCTTCCTCTCAAAATTTTGTCTACCTGGTCAACTTTTTCACCATCGTTTTGAACATTGTTGTTTCATTGGAAAAGAATTTTGGGAGGCTTTAGGAATTCGTTCTGACTTCATGAACGTATCACATGGTCATGTGTTTAGTTTCTCAGATTTTTTGGTAGATGTGGATCCTCAAGGAAGTCATGCTTCCCCTCACCTAGTTGAATGCTTTGATTTCAACCTATATCTCTCCCAGTTTTGGATCCAAAGATGATACCACATGGTACATGTTTATAGACACTTTCTTCTTGGACTGGAATCAAGTGAAAGTTTACCTACTCCCCAGACCATTTTTTAGGACAGATTTCTTTAGAAGCTTCAGGAGCAGTTTTGCTGTATTCTCTGATTGCTGACTAGTAGCTGAAGCAAGCTTGATTCACAGATCTGCTATCTGTTCCGGTAGATCAGTTTCAGTTCTGCATTCGCTTCCTTTTTGAGATCTGCTCTGGCAGCCTCTCTCCTGGTTAAATGCATCAGTGTCCACAGATTTTCCAACTTCATTGATGAAAGCTTTCACAGGAGGCCATACTCATGCAGGCTTTTCTGTGGACATGTTACATTGCATCTCTCAACCAATCCAGTGTTCCTCTTCTGGGATTGGTATATTGAAAGGGAGATTAATTCAGACAAGGTTTCTGTTCAAGGGATGCAGGAGCATAATCTTGCACACAGTAATGATTATTATTAGCTCCCTGGCCCGACGGCATGGTTCGGCGTCCGTCGTCCGTCCGGCGTCCGGCGTCTGTCCGTCGTCAACATTTTACTTTAAACAACTTCTTCTCAGTAACCAAAAGGCCTAGGGGGATGATATTTGGCCAGAAGCATGCTGGGATGAAGGGTTACGAAGTTTGTTCAAATAAATGACCTTCATCTATTTTCAAGGTCACAGGGGTCAAATATGTTAAATTCTTTAACAATTTCTTCTGAATAACCAATCGGCCTAGGGTGCCTAAATTTGGCCAGTAACATGCTGGGATAAATGGCTACCAAGTTTGTTCAAATGAATGATCTTGACCTACTTTCAAGGTCACAGGGGTCAAATGTCTTAAAATCTTCAAACAAATTCTTCTCAATAACCAAAAGGCCCAGGGTACTGATATTGGGCCTGTATCATGCTGGGATAAGGGCTACCAAGTGTGTTCAAATGAATGACCTTGACCCACTTTCAAGGTAACAGGGGTCAGATGTCTTAAAATCTCCAAACAACTTCTTCACGATAACCAAGAGGCCTAGATCACACAGTACTAACAGTCATACAGTACTCGCATTCACACGATACTAGCAGTCACATGGTACACGCAGTCACACATTACATACAGTCACACTGTACTTGCAGTTACACGGTTTTCACAGTCACACGGTACTCGCAGTCACACAGTACTCACAGTCACAAGTTACTCAGTCATACATTACTCACAGTTACAGATAACCTCAGTTAGAGATCACACAGTCCTCTCAGTCACACAGTACTCACAGTCACACGGTACATGCATTCACACGATACTTGCGATCACACGATACTTACGGTCACACGGTACTTGGGATCACATGGTACTCACAGTCAGATGGTACTCACCGTCACACATAGCTTCAGTAAGAGATCAAACTGTACTCACAGTCACACAGTTCTTTCAGTCACACAGTACACACGGTCACACAGTACTCACAGTCACACAGTACTCACAGTCACATGGTACTCACAGTCACACGTTACTCACATTCACACTGTACTCACAGTCACACTGTACTCACAGTCACACAGTACTCACAGTCACACGGTACTCACAGTTACAAGGTGCTCTCAGTCACATGGTACTCACAGTCACACAGTATTCACAGTTACACTGTACTCACAGTGACACAGTACTCACAGTCACATGGTACTCACAGTCACACAGTACTTATAGTCACACTGTACTCACAGTCACACAGTACTCACAGTCACATGGTACTCACAGTCACACAGTACTTACAGTCACAGAGTACTCACAGTCACACATAGTTTCTTTACTAAATATTATGGCTATAGTCTGCTTGTAACACTTAATAGCATGTCTATTGCCTGCTTGTAACATATTACAAGTATGGCATTACTTACTAAATATTATGTCTTGTGCCTGCTTGTAACATACTAAGTATTACATACTGTGTGTCAAGACAATGAGGCTGAGGAAGAAGCAGGCTACCTAAGGTTAGTTGACAACTTAACACAACCACAGAATCAAGTCACCAGTTATCAAATACTGAGGCAGAAGCAGAGAGTGAGTTGTCATTTACATGTTTATCCCATGCCTCATCAACATACATGTACATATCAGAAATCCACTCTCCATGTGCATACCTATAACTATGTGAAAACTAAGGAGTTTTTTTCCCCTCCCCCTGCTTTCAATAAGCTGGTACAAAATGCACCTTTACACACACACAAATGTATGCACTAAGCACGAAGAAACCCTTCACTGTTATTTGCAATAAAGCACAAAAAACCTGCACAAAAACACAATTAAAAAAACAGATTTTATGCAAGTAAGGATAAATGGTTTATTATAATGTGTTAGCAGTTTTAGTTTTCATAATATAAAGCTTAGCAAGCATAAAAGGTTAATTTGGGTGGTTGGGTGGTGCAATGGATAGCGCACTTGCCTTCCACCAAGGCGACCAGGGTTCGATTCCCCAATCGGACGTGAAAAGGTTGGAGGAATCTGTGACCACGCAAATTTATTACATCTTAAAAGTAATATTTATTGAATTTGAAGTGCTTTGAAGAAAGTTTGACTCATGTTTTGATAAAAGAAGTGACATACATGATCAGATAATAATGTTTATATATATTTAGAGATTGCAATTTGTGATTCATTCATTTCTGCAATTTTCAAAGTCAATAAAGTGCACCAAAATAATCTGAGATTGGCAATAAGTACCACCGTGTAACAGTTATTGGAGAAGTTAATTGAAACTCCTGTGTTTCTTAATACTTTACTTATGTATTAACGGTGGTGCTCAGGTATCTCAGTGAAGTGAATCTGCAAATTATATTATTATACAAAGTATGTAATAAACACCTAGGGTACGTTGATATTTTGCCAATAGCATGCTTGGATAAAGGGCAAACAAGTTTGTTCAAATGAATGACCTTCGCACATATTCAAGGTCACAGGGGTCAAATATGTTCAAAAAAATAAAATAACTTCTTCTGAATAAGCAAAAGCTTCAGGGTGATGATATTTGGCCAGTAGCATGCAGGGATGAAGGGCTACCAAGTTTCTTCAAATGAATGACATTCACCCATATTCAAGGTCACAGGGGTCAATTGTCTAAAAAAGAAATTGAACAACTTCTTCTGTATAACCATAAGGTCCAGGGTGGTGATATTTAGTCAGAAGGATGTTGGGATGAAGGGTTGTCAATTTTGTTTAAATGAATGACCTTCACTCACCTTTAAATGACTTCTGTTGAATTATCAAAAGCTCCAGGGTGATGATGTTTGGCCAGTAACATGCATGGATGAAAGGCTACCAAGTTTGTTCAAATGAATGGCCTTCGCCCATATTCAAAGTCACAGGGGTAAATTGTTTTAAAAACCTTTATACGACTTCTTCTGTATAACCAAAAGGTCCAATTTATATACAACTAAAACACGATAAACTGTTTATCTGCTTATTACAC